GACCCTGGTTCGGTTGTGGGAGCAGAGATCGCAGGGCGGCAGATGTAGCCGTGTTTCTAAGGCCAGGCCTATACAACAGGGGAAGGTCGGTGTAAGATACGCAGTTTCAACAACGTGAATAACATCGCGGGAGTCGATGTACCTTTGGCACCGTTCCCACAAAAGGAGGTCAACAGGAGAAACGCTCCCATTGACTTCCCTTACTCCTCACAACTCCGAGGAGTAATCGATGGGGGGCACCCTCAGCATTCGATTTAGCAGGTCTTTACTAGACCTGCTAAATCGAACGCCGGAAGATCGATCACCACAATATCGAAATTGCTGCAAGTAGAGGTGTGGCCTAAGGTGGTAAACCCTGTGTGCTTGAGTAAGGGGCCTTCTTGGGCTTGCCCTGCTCGGAGCCCAGATCTGGCTCCGGGACAGTGGCTATGCTGCAGCAGCCTGTCGCTTTTGTACCATGGCTCCGGTGTGCTTGACAGTCTGGCCTGAGCCCGTGGTAACGCTTACGCTGTGCTCTTTGCAGAGCTGCACTGTCCAGACCCCGCAGGGAGAGGACTACGAAGGGAGATCCTACAGCGGCAAGCAGGTAAGGGGATTCAATGGCACCAAATGCAATCAGAGCCCGGGTCCATTGAAGTCAACGGGGAACTCCCCTGACTTCATGGGCTTTGGATCTGGCCCCTCCTCAGCGTCTGGAATAGCTCGGGCTGCTCCCTGGGGATGGCTGGGCTGTAGAGACCGGGCATCCTGCAGCTTAATTAACAGCAGTGACTCATTAGCTTTAGTGGCACTAATTGTGGGGGGGGAGGGTGCCTGAGGGTGCTCCAAATGGAAGGTGAAGAATCTCTCCTCTGCTCATCCTTCCATTGAGCATCTGGGTGGAGCTCACTGCTTAACCCTGTCACTGCTGGAGGAGATTGGATCACACAAGGCCTGGAGGCTGGATTCCTCAGGGAGGGCCCAGGACCCCAATGATCTTGCCTCTGGCTGTGAAATGCCTGGAGGTCCCTGGATCCAAAGTGGCTCTAGGTCCAAGCTAGGTCTAGTGACTTTGGGGACCAGAGAATGGTGGCCCAGGGCCACGGGCGGGCTCCCACATGGCCGCTTCATCCCCGCGCTCTCTTGCAGATCACCGGCGTGTCCATCCTGAGAGCGGGAGAGACCATGGAGCCGGCCCTCCGGGCTGTGTGCAAAGACGTCCGAATCGGCACCATCCTCATCCAGACCAACAGCAACACCGGAGAGCCAGAGGTAACGGGCCCATGGGCCCCTGGTGACCCGGGAGCATTCGCAGCAGCTGACGGGATCACACGGATCCCTAGCGCAGCCATGGGCACAGTGGCTGCGATCAGTCCGTTCATACCTGGAATCGTCAGGAGGTGACTGGCTGGCGCTGGCTTTTGTATTGAAGGGGCCTTCGTCAGTCATTGGTAGGGCCCTTCCAAATTCACTGCCGTGAGACATGTCACGGACCATGGGATCTGGGGTGCTCCCGTGACAGCTGGCCTTTGGGGGCTTTTACCCTGTACTGTGCAGATTTCGCAGGGGAGACCAGTGTTTCTCAGATTGGGGATCCTGACCCAAAAGGGAGTTTCAGGGAGCTTAGAAGGTTATTTGAGGAGGGTCACAGTATGGTCACCCTGACTTCGGAGCTGGGCAGCTGGAGAGCGGTGGTTGTAATGTTGGTTGGGTGCTCAGCTCTGAAGGCAGCACCCTCCAGAAGCAGGGCAGAAGTCAGGGTGGCAATATCATACCCATGTCACCCTGACTTCTGTGCTGCTGCTGGTGTTGGCAGCGCTGCCTTCAGAGATGGATTCCTGGCCAGCAGCCGCTGCTCTCCAGGTGCCCAGCTCTGAAGACAACATTGCTGCTAGCAGCTGTGCAGAAGTAAGGGTAGTAGCACTGCAACTCCCATACAGTAGTCACCTTGTGCTACACACACACACACACACACTCTTCCTTTTTGGGTCAGGACGCTTCCAATTACAGCACCGTGACGTTTCAGATTTCAAGAGCGGACATCGTGACATTTACCGTTTTTTTAAAAACCGTGAAATTGCCCCAAACAGACTGTGAATTTGGTAGGGCCCCAATCCCTGCGGCCCAAAGGGGCTGGCTACGAACGAAGCCATAGGGCATGTCCTGTGGTCTGGAAGGCTTTGAATGCATCGGTGCAAACGTGCATGTGCACGACTGGCTAGATGCCGCGTCCCTTGCACGTGCACGCCGGCCACAGCTGGGCGTGGCAGGAAGGTAACGGTGCCCCGCCTGTGAGTCCAGCGGGCCCAACCCCCGCCCAACTCAGGGAGAAGTGAGCAGAGCTTTTCCTGAGGGCACTTTCCCAAATCTCTCTCTGGCCTGTCCCTTGCCCAGCTCCACTACCTGCGGTTGCCGAAGGACATTAGTGAGGATCACGTGATCCTGATGGACTGCACCGTCTCCACGGGCGCGGCGGCCATGATGGCAGTGAGAGTGCTGCTGGTAAGGAAGGAGGGGCAAGGGGCCGGGGCGTTCAGAAAGGAAAACTCAGGAGCTGCCTGGGAGATGCTGGGGTTGTGGAGAGGGACAGGTCCAGCTCAGGTCTCTGATGCAGGATCCCAGAGTCCAATGCAGCTAAGCTAACGGCCGTACCCTAAGGCAGGACCCTGCGCTGAGAAGAGGAAGGAGGCCGGCTGGCAGGGTGCAAAGCACAGTGTTGTGAGAACGGCCAGACCGGGTCAGATCAAAGCTCCATCTAGCCCAGGATCCTGTCTGCCGACAGTGGCCAATGCCAGGTGCCCCAGAGGGAGTGAACCGAACAGGGAATCATCACATGATCACTCCCGTCACCCATTCCCAGCCTCTGACAAACAGAGGCCAGGGACACCTTTCCTGCCCACCCTGGCTAAGTACTAATGGACCTAACCTCCATGAATGTATCCAATTCTTTCTTGAACCCTGTTAAAGTCCTGGTCTTCACAACATCCTCTAGCAAGGAGTTCCACAGGTTGACACTGCGCTGCGTGAAGAAAAACTCCCTTTTGTTTGTTTTAAACCTGCTATCTGTTAATTTCATTTGGTGACCCTTAGTTCTTAAGGGTAAATAACTTTTTCTTATTCATTTTCTCCACACCTGTCATCATTTTATAGACCTCTATCCTATCCCCCCTTAGTCTCCTCCTTTCTAAGCTGAAACGTCCCAGGTTTTTAATCTCTCAGCCATTCCAAACCCCTCCTCGTTTTTGTTGCTCTTTTCGGAATCTTGCCGTGATATCTTTTGTGAGATGAGGTGACCACATCTTAAAACAAGACCCTTCCCTCTTATCCCATGATGCCAGGGTTGTCTTCCCCCAGGGCAGCATGGGGGCGCGAGACAGGGTTCCCCGTACCCCCAGCCCAGCTGAGATCAACTCAGGGTGTAGGGAGGCGAGGTTCGGAGGAGGAAATGAAGAAGGCGGCTGATCCGAGGGCAGAAGCTGGATCTCCAGGTTGGCACTTTGGGGTGGGAATCCATGAGTCTGAGCTGGCCTGGAAGCTGAGGTAGCCTCTCTCAAATTCAGGGCTGAGGCACACTGGGGCCGGGGGAGGCAGGGAACATAGACCCTTGGTCTGTGGATAATGAGGATCGGAGCAGGGACATGGCCCCTCTCCTACCTTCCCTCCCTTCCTCTCTCATAGGATCACGACGTCCCCGAAGACAAAATCTTCCTCCTCTCTCTGCTGATGGCAGAGATGGGCGTCCACTCGGTGGCCTACGCCTTCCCCCAGGTGAAGATCATCACAACGGCTGTGGACAAGAAGGTGAACAACCTTTTCCGCATCATCCCCGGCATCGGTGAGTCCCTGTCGGGGAGAAGGCTGTGGCGCCGGCGGGGGTGGCTTGGCTGGACGAGAGGGCCTGGCCAGCCTTGGGGACCTCGCCCTGCTCTCCACCACCTTGGCTACAGAGGCATGTAGCCTTCAACCAAAGGCAAGCGCTCCTCCTTCCCCAGACAGCCCGTGGGAGCAGCAGCCCTCCACAGCCCAACCTGGGCAAAGGCTGCTAGGAAGAGACAGCAGGGATAGTGTGAGTCGGTCCCGTCTGCGTAGCCTTGGGGGTAAGGAGGGGAACACAGGGCTGCTGCTGCCGAGCCGAAACAGGGAGTGGCTGATCCCTGGTCCCGCCTGAGCAAATCTCCGTTCCCGGGATAAACTGGCAGGGGCTCATCCAGAACCAGCGACAACTTGCCAGAATCGCTCAGAGCCATTAAGCACTTGGCACTGATGAAGTGGGCTTGTCGCGTCCCCTGAGCCGAAGCTAATGGGAACGCCAATTAAAGAGCCAGCTGAGGCTGGTTATAAAAAGAGCTTCCCTGCAGCTAGCCGGCGAGGAGCTGAGAGGACGGAGGGAGCTCTGCTGGGAGGTTAGGAGGAGCAAGCCCCGTGGATACTAGGAGGAAGAGCCTGACATGGGAGAAGGTGCTGGGGAAGTAACCCAGGAGTTTCGTAGCTGTCTTGCAGCAAGTGTTGGAGACGCTTGTAGGAAGCTGCTATTACAAAGCGCTGGGTGGGAACCCGGAGCAGCGGGTGGGTCTGGGGTCCCAAAACACCCACTTCCCATCTCCATTAGAGGGAAAAGACGGGGGAGGGGGTCACCCAGCCTGGTATCATTGGGGGATCCACCAAGACTGTGGAGTTTCGTTGCCCTTTATACCTTACGCTGGCCAGTGACGAGTTAGCTCAACACACAGCAAGCCGATGCCCTCAGTGCGGTGCCTAATTTGAGGCAAGCCATCCGCCGGAAAGCGCAGGGCCCACCCACATCACTCCCCGCCCGCCACCTCATTCAGCATTTCTCCACCTTCAGTGCGCAAGTCGGGGAAGCTGATGCCCCCTGCCCGTGGCCACGTGGGCGAGCTGAGTGTGTGAGCAGCCCCGCAGCGTCCCTCTTCTGACTCGCTAGTCCCAGGGGCTCTCCCACGGGAAACCAGAGCCGGCATCCGTGCTCTTTGGGAAGCGGGTGTAGTTCCCCCCCGGGTGGCGTAAGGGCATCCCTGCAGCACCGATCTCCGTGTGTCCCGTCGCACTGATGCTGTCTGCCTGTGTCTCTCCCCGCCCCTCGCTCCCCTGCCACAGGGAATTTTGGAGATCGCTATTTCGGGACCGACGCCCCCCCTGACTGGAGCGAGGACACCCTGGACACTTAGCAGACACCCCCACCTGCCTTGGGTCAGAAGACGAGATCCCCCCCTCCCCTCCCTGGAGACGAGGCAGCTTTCGCATCGCACCTTATTCTTCTATTGTATATTTCCAGAGAGATTTCCCCCGGGCATAGATATTTTTTCAGCTCTTGCGTTTGGAGGCGAGGGCCTATTTTTTCAAAAGGAAGAGACGTCAATCCGAGCTGCCTGGATGTGCACAGGCGCGTGTCCTGCTTGAGAGCGGAGTTAATTTATTTTAATTTAAAGATTTGCCTATGTAACTTATGTCAGAGATTTTATAAAGAACAAAATAAAGGTTTTTTTTCGCCAGGTTTCTTGCGGCGGCGCTGCGGGTGATTAGCCCCGGGCCTGGCTGCAGATCAAGGGACAGGGTCTGATCCCGGTGTAGTAAGCCCTTGAGGAGCTGGGAATATGAGGTTTATCTCCGTGAACCTGGCACCCAGGCGGGAAACGGTCCAATCCCTTCTCCCCTTTCTGTCCTGGGATGCACGATACGGCCGCCTGGTGGGAGCAACCCTTCTGGAGGGCGGGGGAGAAAGCGGCCATCCTGCTGCGCGCTGAAAGGCGAGGGCCGAGTTCGCTGGCAGCCGAACGATTGTGCCTCTTTGGGGGAGACCTGGTGGCAGGGAGAGGCAGAATTGGGGGAAGGCGGGAGCTCGCTGTGGCATGGCTCAAAGGTGGGGATGTCTGTCTGCTGAAGGGCTCGCTCTTCCAGACTCCTGACTCCGGGGGCTGCCTCTTTCCATCGGTGCAGAGAAGAGCAGGCGGGCTCAAGGCATAAACTCACCGTGGGAACACGGAGCCCAGCGCACGAAGGAGAACTTGGTGCGTCTTACAGCCAGACTGAGAGCAGCCGAGTGCAGACACGCCGGCTCCTCTGGTTTTGATCTTTTGATCTTTCAGCCCATCACCATCAGCCATTCATGTATTTATCTTCAGAACACCCGGTGAGACAGAGCTATGCCGTTATCCCCAGTGTACAGATGGGGGCTTGAGGCACAGACAGGGTAAATGACATGCCCATGGTCTTGTAGAAAGCCTGTGGCAGAGAAGTGACTTGATTTCCCCCGCATCCAAATCCTAGAGTGTTACTCTATTGGTCCATCCTTCCCCTCTACAGAACTTGGAAACTTCTCCAGAGCAGGAGGTGTCTTGTCCCATTACTAGATGGGGGATTGTTTGTGCTAGGATATACAACCACTGCACTGGGATGACGGCTCCTGGACAGGGCCTGCCCTCTGGGTCCCTTCCTCGGGCTTGTCCTGCTGACTCAGGGGTCGGGGTCTGTCTGCAGGAAGCGGTTCGTGGTTCGTCCTCCTCCCAGGCAGGGGTCCATGCCCAGTTCCATGGGTTGTGACGGAAAACCTACCTTGCTGAGCCGCTGGTGCCACCGTCCTGTAAGATTTCAGAGCAGCCTCTGATATTTCCTGGCCACGTTCGTGTCACTGGCGATTCAGTCGGGCCAGTTCCCCGGCTGGCAGGGATGTGGGGTGGAGCTGAGGCTGGAATAAACTCATGGGAAGGGCTTGGCAAAGGGCTGCAGGCAGCGGAAGGCAGGGAGACAGCGGAAGCAGGCACCCCAGGGGAAATCAGGCCGGGCTTTGGGTTCAAAATAATGACACCTGCTTGCGCTAACACTGCACTGGTTAAAAGCACCTCGGGCGGGCGGTGAGGGCAGGATCCCCACCCTTGAAAGCTGTGCTGAGAGGCAGGGCTGACACCTGATAAGCTCGCACTAAAAATATCTCGGGCGTAGGTGGCCGGAGAGCTGCAAGCACAAAGGCTCAGCCATGGTGCCTGGGCAGCAGCAACGCCAAACAGCGAGGCTCTGCCCCCACCCCAGCCAGAGCCTGGCCTACACCTAAAATGCACGGCAGCCTCGCGAAGGTGCTGGGTTCCCAGGGGAAGGAGAGGGGGCTCGACCCCAGCTCTGCCATAGGCCACCCCGTTCTCCCCGAGCCCCATGCTGCCTCTTCCCAGTTCCTGCTCTGCCCCCCGGGCCTCCTGCGTGCTGCTGAGCAAGCTTATGGGCACCCACGCTAGGGCAGGAGCCCCCATGGGAAATAATTCATGGGTGCTTAGTACC